TCAGTTGAGGATAGATAAAGCCCTGCATACAGGTTTGAAAGCATCATATATCATGTGGGCAGCATAAAATCAACATGAGCCATATATGATGTTAAGAGTCTCCTGCTCCCTTTAAGCACACTTCAGTTGCAAACTAGTCCATAACCATAGCTCAAGCAGAAAATTTAGAAGTCAATAAGCCAATAAAAAACCCAATGGAAATTTAGTTGTTCGTGAAATTTCTGAAGCAACAACAAGAAGTTCAGATCAACGATCATCTCTAGTAAGATAAATTTCATATTTTACATCTCAGACTTCAGCTACGAAGATGAATGAAACAAGAAACAAATTTGCAGGTATTCAACAAGAAAAGTAATTATTTCCTTTCCATTTCAGGGAACGGATCCAACAAATTATGGTTGATCCACTTCTTGTTCCCAAATTTCTATCATCGAATTTATAAACTTTATATCAGGGATTCCGAACATTGTTTGAACTAAGCTCTTATCATCCATTCCTTAACCACTGAAATTGAGAGAGATTGACTTTACATTATTCATACAGCACTAGAAGTGACATGTTAAGCTCGGAAATCAAAAAAGGAAAAGAAAAAAGCCAGAAAGGCAATACCTTGTAGCGAGAAGGAAGACTCCTCATAAGTTTGACTCTCAAACAAAGACCAATAACTGTAGCCATACTACAATGTTCAACGGTGGGAGTGAATGTCACTCTGAATAAGAAACAAAATCAATAAGAAAACCATTTTCTTAACAAAAAAATGAGCGAGAAGCATATGAAAAAGAGATAATTTGACCATAATACCTAACATAACTTCGCTCGTTGTCTACTTCGATAGCATCTTCAGTTATTACTTTAAGCTCCTCCAGAGAGTAGGGATGTTCAGGATCCTTTATATCTCTAATATGATTTAAGAATGTTAAGAAAATCAAAATAACATGCTCCACATAACAAGATGTAAAATATGGAAAAATATTACCCAATAGAAACAGATACTTTACACAGCACGATAACAATCGCTTGCATGAAGAGAAAATAAGTAATAAATAAAAAGGATCGAAAAAAGGATATCGAAAATTTCTTCTTGGTCAATAGGTTCAACAGCATATTCATCAGGCGCAGATGTTACGTTACGAACCTGCCGCTCTTTCTTCTCGTACACATAGGGTTTGCATTTATTAAACCGGACACCATAGTTTCTGAGTCAATCAACAAAATAAAATTATGAAATTAAATCAATCACATCGTCACTCTTCTTTTTCCCTGTACCGCTATAAATAATTGTTCTCGGATAATCAAATTTGCAGCTCTTTGATTTCTACCACAAATGAAGAAGAACAATTGGGTTACGCATAAATAGATAATTTATAATAACTCAATATAATTCTCCCAAAAATTGAAAGAATCCATAGGGAAGCAGAAACAAACCTAAAAACTATTTTGAGAGAAAGGAATATTAAGAGACATAATAAACCAAACCTGAGGAAAAGACAATAAATTTGGGGGGAAATCAAAGAATTATAAGAAAACAAGTTGAGTACTCAAATTAAAGCATACAGAAACAACAACAAAAACTGAAATTTCAAACAGAATGGTAGAAAATTAGAGGGTACGAGTTACCAATTTGAAGTGGCTGCGAAAGGGGCAAAGTAATTGCGAGAAAGCGAAACCAAGTGTAAATCTATAGACCAATTGAGAAGATTGAAGTGGAAATTGGAGAAGAAAAAAAGCCCGAGGAATGCTATTTTTGAATGGCTCAAACGATTGTTTAGGTAAACTACACGTTTAATATTCCAACTATTACTTCTGTTCCATTTTCATCACCTAACTATTTTTCGTTTCAAAATCATACCTAATGTTACGTTTTTATTTCATTTTTATTACTCACCATTAAAAAATTAACGTCATTTCTATTACTTTTTTAATTACGGGTGACCAAAATGAAATTAAAACATGAATTATGTATGATTTTGAAACAAAAAATAGTTGAATAACAAAAAACAAACAAAAAATGATAGTTAAGATACTAAATGTATAGTTTACCTTTTTTTATTCATCGTTGTTTGAATCCAACGGCTGACAATCCATATTGTTTTTCCGATATCTACTGGCTCATTAAAGTCTACATTAGGTTAGGTTGCATTAGATGAACATATATTTCTATACTATTATTTAAATTTTTGATTAAATTGGCGTTATTGATTTTGGAAATTGATCGGTTTCTAATTGATTTTGAAAAATATTAAAAATTATAATTAATGATATAAGAATAATTGTATCTTTTCATATATTTGCCTATTGTCAAATTAAAAAATTATATAAAGATTAAATATATGACCTAGTAGTTTAAAAATATTTTTTAACATTTCACTAATAAAAAAATATTAAATAAATTTAGATAAAACCAATATTCAATTGGTTTAGTGACATGAGACACTCGATTTCTTAAACAAAATCAATAATTTGAATTATGATATTACGAATTGAGTAAATTAAATTGGGAGGGTTATCCCATAAATGGGTCTTTATAATGCTCGGTCACATTCAAAACTTAAAACGAAAGAAATGTTAGTGTTGAGCCAATCGACCAAGAATATGATCAAGAGAACGGTCAATTGACAATAAAAAAATTGATGAAAGCTTTATTAAGAATAAAGAAAATCTTAACAAATGATTTAGACCGATTAACTTTCTTAATGAAGACCATATGAGATGCATTTTATATGCTCTCAATTTGAGATTGTTGGAGGGGTTTGGAGTCATTTGAAGCATTAAATTATCGTATTAAAAGGTTATTTGCACATAAGTTTAAAACTTTCGGTAAGGGTTTCCAATTTGAAATTATTGAAGGGAGCGTATAGTCATTTGAAGCATTAAATTCTCATATTAAAAGGTTTTTTGCGCAAAAGTTTTAAAACTTTCGGTAAGAGTTTCAAAACTTTGATGAAAGTTTCCCTTGAGTCTTTGGGAGGAATCTCGATATTTATTTGTTTCGATTAGATAGAGAAAATGTTGCATTAAAATGTATTAGAAGGTATGTTTCTTCTCAATCGAAAGTAATAAATAGTCTTTTTCTCCTTAGAATTTTTGGATTGCTGGACAAGATGAGTCTAGAGTGAGTGACACATACCGATGTGCACAACTAATGATGTGTAGCGATATGAATTACTAATGTAAAAACATGGTAAAATTCATAAATGGCCATTAAATATAACAACTGTTGCACACATTATGAACGCTTATACCCTTACATACATGATGTTCGAACCCGAAACTTTAAAGAATAACAACAACCCTTATTCAGTTAGGTCATTTAGTTCGTGTTTATATATATATACATATATATAAAAGTATAATAGATAATTTAGATAAATATAATTGTTATGTGACAATGTGAAGGTAAACCATCAAAATAAAAATGATGTATTTTTTATCATTACATTATAAATTTATTTAATAATATAATTGTTTTTTTACAACAAATAAAAACATTTTAGAATTAAAATAAAACAAAAATTTAAGCATTAAGGGATGACTCTTTATCTTATTTCGAAATAATTTAGTAACATTTTTATATTAATTAGGATTAATAACCAAATAAGTGCCCAAACTATACATTTTTCCCGAATAGGTCATATAGTATTTTTTGGACCATCCAAGTGTCTAACATTATAAATGTGTCCACTTTAGGTGATCAGGACGTAACGACGGTTAGTTATGTCTATTAAGTGACACATGCAAAATTTTGATAATTTTAATTTTTTAAAAAATAATAAAAATATCATTATATTTATAAAAAAATATAATTTCTTTTAAATTACAAAAAAAATCTCAAAATCCCCAAATCCTAACACTAACCCACCTCCGGCGCTCTTTCCACCCATGCCCACTATTGTCGACGTAGTCCCTACCTTCACCTTAGTTATACGTTGCCATAGTTGTCGTCGATTAACCGTCAGAATCACGTGGGATCGCGATCTTCATCTTAGGTTTCACGGGGTTTAGAACATCGATTCGTCGTCGATCGACCGTTGATCGATCATGATTTTACAGGGGTTTTGGTCGTCGGGGGGAGGTGAGGTCAGGTGGAGCTTCACCTATAGCAAAGGGTGGCCATCAACGTGGTTTTAGGGGCTGAAAATGAAGGTTTTCAAAGTTTTATGGTTATTTCAATTTTAATGTGTTTTATTTTTAAAAAATATATAATTTTTTTTAATTTTATATAAAAATTTAAAATGATCAGATTGTGACACATGTCACTTAACGGAGGAAATTAACACTGTTGATGGCCATGTCACCTACAGTGGTAAAATTTGTAATGCTAGGCGATGGTCAAAAAAATATTATGGGCACCTATTCGGAAAAAATTATAGTTTGGGCACTATTGGGTATTAAGCCTATTAATTAATGTAATTATTGAATGGATAAATTACACATTTAGTACTCTAACTATCACTTTTGTTTCGTATTGATCATGGAAAATTTTTTTATTTCAAAATCATACCTAACGTTTAGTGTTGGTTTCATTTTGGTCACCTACCTTTAAAAAATAACATAATTGTTGTCATTGTATTTTTTATTTTATCAATGATGACATGACATTATCTTATGTTAACACATTATTATCTTCGTTAATTTTTTAATGTCATATGTCCAAAATAAAACTAAACTAAATGTTAGGTATGATTTTTAAATAAAAAACAGTTGGTGATAAAAATGGAATAAAAATAATAATTGGGTAATAAATGTATAGTTTACCCTTATTAAATACATTAAAGAAATCAAATTATTTCGAAATACTAATATTTTAAAAATATTTTATCAAACACAACAAATTTAAAAAAATGGAGAATTTGGAGAGATAAAAGTCCGCTCCATAGGAAAGTTTCACTCCAAAACCCTCCGCGCCCATTTCCCTATCCCACTGTCCTCTGATTTTCATTTTTATTTTTTTACTTTTTCATTTTTGAATTTTACAACAACTTGGAAAAAACCCACAAACGCCACTTCCCTGTCACTCTATTTTCTCTTTCTTCCCTCCAATGTGTCTTATTTTCTAGGAGGAAAAGAAAAATCCGAACTTCACAGTTTCTCTCAAACCAAACAAACAAAAACCGAGAGAAACTGTTAAAGCCTCCTCCATGGATCTTTCTGACACAACCAACGTTTTGTTTAGCAAAATCAAGGTTTTAGAACCTGAAAACGCTTCTAAAATCATGGGTTTCATCCTTATCCAGGACTTGGCTGACAGGGATTTATTACGTTTAGCCTTTGGTCCTGAAACCCTTTTGCAGTCCCTTGTTTTCAAGGCTAAGGCTCAATTAGGACTTTCTTCAAGCAGTTTCTTAACTCATTTGAATCCAATCTCAAGACCCTACACCTCTAACAATTCCCAAAACCCACTTCCTCCATTATCACCTACTATGATTCCGAAAAATGGGTTATCGGTTTTTTCAAAAAAGGTGCCTTCCTGGTCTCCTAATGGTAGCCCACAGTCAAGTCCTTTTCTTTCTTACGAAAATATTCGCTCTGGGTCTCTTTTAGTTACTCCAAGGACTGGGGATAGCAATACTGATTTAATCGATGAGAGTCAAATGAGTGACTATTTTTCTTTCTTGAATGATTCTTCCTCTTCCAAGAATGAGGATTTTATTGGTCATAGAAGGAGTTTTTCAGAAAGCGATGCATGTTTCGGGACAGCTGAAGAAGCCGACAGATTTGGTGGTCTTGTGGGTGGTTACAAGCCTTGTCTTTATTTTGCTAGAGGTTTTTGTAAGAACGGTGACAATTGCAAGTTTACACATGGTCTTGGTGGTTTAGCAGATAATGTTGATATTAATGGTGGTGTTGTCGTTGGTTCACCTAGTAAAATGGACCTTCTTTATCATCAACACGAGGAAATGATGAGAATGAGAGCAGCTGTTCATCAGCAAAGATTGGCTGCTGCTCAGTTGATGGCTGGTGTTTCTTCTCCACTGCCTTATGAAAAAAGCATGAATCTTCTGTTGCAACACTACACTGAGGACCAGAGGTGTATTAAAGATTCCTCATTTTTTGTTTCCTGTTGTCTGACATTTTTTGGGCTATTTTATGTCTATGTTTCTTAATTTTTGTTCTAACATTGCTTTTATCCCGGTGGCTATGGAATCCACAACGAGGGTTTGCTATGGTTTTACATAAAAAATTATAGGAATTTATTTATATATTATCATCTATTTGACCATTTTTTCGGGGATTTTTTACTATGAGGTGGGTTTCTTTTAAGCATTTTTATTTGTGTTCGTGGTTTACGCTTTCTGCTATGAATAGTAAAGACATCTATTTGGCTTTTGCCTTAGCTTTCACTGACTTGATGCATAAAATTCATTAATTTAAATTTGCCTTGTTACAGGCGTTTTTTTATTTGTAAGATAATTGTTGGTCTTGTTTTGGCGGGACTTGGGAGTATTAGCATGGTTATTGACATATTCTTCCATTGTGCTAAATATAAGTTCTTTTCATTTGGCACATTGTGGTGTTGCAGAGCTGCTGCATTAGTGCTGGGTGAAGAAATTTGCAAGTTCTCCAAGGGCCGATCTGAGGTGAACGATTTTTTGGAAATGGGATTGGCAGAAAAGGCTTACTCGGCTTCTAAACAGATTTACCTGACTTTTCCATCTGATAGTACATTTAAAGATGAAGATGTTTCTAACTACTTCAGGTATCTGTCACATTTAGATATAGTCTGATTGAGCATATATGTAGTTTATGAGTTCTCTCCGGTCCATATGCATTTAGATAATATACCGGATGGCTGAAAATCCATGGTTGTTTACATCTAGATCTGAACCCTTCTGCCTTTTCTAGCTATTGAATTAACGTTGATAGTGTGTTTTGTATCATCTTCTGGTAGCCCAATATCTATTTTGCAATAATCTATCATTTTTCTTGAGGATTTAAAATATCCTTAATCGCTAACCACTCTTCATTTGTACTTAATTTTTAATCCCGGTATATAGTGTATAATATTTGGAAATGTGCTAGAGTAGGATAACTATCTTGAGCTCAATTTGATTGCTGTTGTACTCTTCAGGTTAGGAGGGAATGATCAGTTAAATAAGTGATTCATCTTGGAACTGATTATATAATGGACATGTCAAATGTCGATAATGCTTTTGGTGGTAAATGGTCTATACAAAATACTGGAGGCGTTTTCAGTGGAGTTTGCATGAACAGAACACATGAAACTAATTATTAATTATTTAATTTATGCAATGCTTCATTATCTTCTTACTTTTTTTTGGATGAACGTTGCTTCATTGTCTTCTATTTTTACTTTGGTGCTAGAGGATATATGGGAAGTTTAAAGAATTGGTAGTTTCTGCATTTTTGTTTCAACGAGGAAATTCTACAAGATTTAGAATTAATGAGAATTAGTCCCCCTTACCCCAAGGAAAAGTCAACTGTTCATCAAAGACAATTTTATCACATCTATAGGAGTGACAAGCATATGATAAGAAAATATGTTTTCCCATGAGAAAGGTGAGGTTTAAGGCTTACAGGATCTTGTTTACGTGGCGAAACTTGCAACTGAGCTGTATAATAAGCCTGGTGGTGTTGTATAGGGAAAAATATTGTTTCTGTGTCTAGAAATTGATTATTGCTGGATGTGACATGCTTGTAGATGAAGCAGATTTGACAATTTATTTGAGCCCGAATACTGTAATTTGACCTTGGAAGTTTTATTGCTGTACCGCAGACAGTTTGAAACTCCTAGTGAATTGACAATACCAGGAACCCTGGTTATATATTCATCCATGTCTAGCTAAGGCTACCATTTAAATGTATGTTGCTGTCAGTTGTTTATTTTGATGCAAAATTCTAGGACTTCTAAAGGGGTTTTCTTTGTTCTGAACTAAGGTTTATAAAGTTCTTTAATTTTAATTCTGTTAACTTAGTTCAATTGTATCTTTTAAAGCATGTTTGGACCGGTGCAAGATGTGAGGATTCCGTATCAGCAGAAACGAATGTTTGGCTTTGTAACTTTTGTCCATCCAGAGACTGTGAAGCACATTTTGGCCAGAGGAAACCCCCATTACATTTGTGATTCACGTGTACTTGTTAAACCCTATAAGGAAAAGGGAAAAGTTCCGGACAAGTATGGCATTTTCTCTTATTTTTATTTTTTTCCTTCTTCTGGCCATCATCATGCAATGAATTTATAACTGATAATGGAGCAATTGCAGAAGGCAATACCTGCAACAACATTTAGACAGGGGCAACTTTTCTTCATGTTCAAGCCCTTCAGGGCTTGACTCTATAGAGCCTTATGATCCTCATGTTGGTAAGCAAACAAACATACTTTCTTGTATGATTGTCAGCTCATGTGCCTTTTTTTCCCCATGAAATCGAAGGATGGGAAACAGAATGCTTTGGATGTCTGTTTTTATGATTTTTTTCTTGCTCGTTAGATTTTGAGGCTAATAATTTCTCTTTAAATGCAGGGGCAAAGATGTTCCACGATGCTCCGGAGATGATGTTGAGAAGGGAATTCAAAGAACAAGCTGATCTCCAGCGTGCTATTGAACTGCAAAGGAGAAGGTTGGTGAACTTGCAACTTCCAGACTTCAAGATTGATGGCATTCATCATCACCAACGCAGCCTATCCGTCGATGCTTCTGTTTCCTTACCTGCTTATTCCCTTGACAGTCAAAATGCTCCTCCTTCTGACAGCATTAAACAAGAAGTCTCAAAAGGTTTTCTATTCAGCTCCAGTTGTCCTATCCCTTATTATCAAAATGAGAATGCGTGGATAAGTGTCCTTGTATCTTGTTCAGAGAAAAAGAATAAAATCAAAATTAGTTGTTTGATATATTTGAGTTTGTCAGTCAAGGAATTGGGGCGGGGGACCTTGCTGTTGTTAAAGTTATATTATTTTTGTGGCAGTCTATGGTGGTAATACAGCTGCTGCTGTTCCTATAACCTCGAATGCTGCTGAGGAGGAGGAAGTGAATTCAACTTGTGTTCAGAAAGGTGGAGTTGGAAATCCTAAAGGGTACGAAGTTGGATGTCCCTAAACAACACGGAACTTAATTTTGATGTTTAGATAAAACTTCAACTAGTACAGATCTTAGTGTATGCCGCTGTCTTCTCGAGAATTCTAAAGTTGGTTATCTTTCTGTTTTTCCTATTTGTTTTCATTTCCATTTCTGATAGATGTCATGAGAGCTGCATAGAGCATGCGCTTCCTGATAGCCCTTTTGCTTCCCCTGAGAAGTCTACTGAAAGTCACCTCTCTGAGTTTCCTGCTTTGGTGGAAGTAAATGGAAATTCAAATTTATGTGCTGTGTCATCTTCTGAAAATGATACGTTACTACTCATCTCTTCTGCTAGCGGCATGTCCTCCATTTAAGTTGTCCTCTTATTGCCAAGGTATTATCAGTGCTTTAAAATTGTTATAACTTAATCTCTCCTCCTGCTATGATTAATTGAGTAGTATGTATTGTATCATATTTGAAATTTATTTACGTTTTTTGCAGATTTTTTTATGCCGCGCGTGAAGGTAATGACATGTAGGAAATAAAGTTAAGCACAGTCAGAACTCAGACAAGGAGTAACTATGATATATGAACTAATCTTTCTTAGATTCTAGTCAGATGGCTTTCTTTGTAATGTCTTGGTGTGATATTAATTCACAAAAGTAGAAAAGCGTATAGGAGAAGATTCCCGTAGTTCGTAGATGTGTATATCCAAATTATACGGTGAAGAGTGGATCCGTAGAGAAAAAACTACTAACAGCAACTTCATATTGGATTAGATATATGGCAGACTAATCGAAATTCGAGTGTAGGGCTTTTCTCCTTTTGCCCTTCCGATGTAGGCATGTATTCCAATCACCAAAAGCCAGAAGAAACAAAGGATGGCCAGTCATCGCATTTTCAGCGTACGCATTGCATCTTCTTTCACATTGTATCTGATAAAAAACATTATCACAATCCGAATTGTGTACATTTATTGAACACAACAGTTGTTAGGAAGTTAGTGAAATGTCTTGATTATGAGTTATTTTATAGTTTTGGTGATCTTTGAGAGTAATATTTTTGGTGTTATTAAAATGAAGAATGTAGGGTGTTTTTAGAAAGTTGGTAAAGAAAGTATCTTTTGGGGCAGTTTGTCTGGTTTTACATTTATGTAAGTTTAGGTCCACATGAAAGGTGAAGGGCACATGGGGGGCTGACATTATGTTAAATTGGGAACAGGGCATGCTTTCAGTTCATATTTTTTTTTGAGATTTTGTTTTATTTGGTGGAGCCATAGATTCTGTATGTGTTTTAAATCATTGGTGATGTGGTTCTAATTCAAGCTCACTCCCACCTTGTACTGCCTTTGCTTTTGCCAGATTTTTTTCAAGTTCAAAGGAGGGTAAAAGGAAAGTGTTTTTTTTAATGCAAAAAGAAAAAAAAGTATAGTTAAAAAGAAGGGTAGGGATTTACTTGCAAACCATTAATAATTGTTTTGGTCTTTATTTTTTTTTGAGCATTTTGACTTCAAACGTTTTATTTTAGAGTAGAAAAAAAAGAGATCTAATGTATAAAGATTTAAGGTAAACTATATAGATAGTCCCTCGATTATAAAATATTTTGAGTCATTTGATTATGGAAAGTTATGAAATAGTCACTCAATTAATTGTAACTTATAAATTCTTGTCCTTTACGACTACCTGTGATGGATGTTAAAATGATGATTGATTGAATGAAATTGTTTTTTTTATTACACCTAATACCCATGTCAAAATTGGGCAAAAAAAATGAAAATAGGAATTTGCAATTGAAACCCTAATAAGTTGAACGAAAGTCCCAGACTTCATCTTATTTCTTAGAGCAAAACAAATGAGGTATCGAAAGAAAGAACGAGGAGGAAAATTGAATAATAGAAGGAATATATATATATATATATATATTGTGGTTTGAAAACCGTTAAAATAAATTAATCTTATCATAATATTATAAATATTTATAATTAAATTTGAGCATAAATTAAAAATTTAACTCGATGACTCAATTTTTTGAAATAATAAAGTTTGAATCTTAAAATAAGATTCATCAACTTGAGTAATTAAACTTTTTTAGCTCGACTTGATTGAATACTCACCCCTATATGTTATCCCAAATCGATAAACCAAATTAAGCATCACTTAGAATATCCTTGGACAACGCTTCCTTTTCTTATCTGCAGCTCACTCATCATAAATAAATCTTCAACAATGCTATTTACACACATCAATCTAACTTATCTCAAAGGCTCCATCCGAAGACGAATTTCAGAAAAGAAAACAGAAATAGAAAATGATTTTATTAACCAAACAAAAGTCGGGGAAATTCCTTTCATGAGGCAACATTCCTTCCCTTTTTTTTTTTGGGTTTGTTTACAACATTCCTTTATTTACTCTTGGTGTTCCCACTTTTGTTCAATAGGCTACTAGTTGCAGCGAGCCCTCCTTCATCAAGTTCAAGGTTGGACTGCTGAATCTTTCTCGTGAATATTGTCTTGATGCTTTTCTCCCATCGATGTCGGCTTTCATCATTGTAGCGAACTCATCATAACTTATGCAACCATCCTGCAACAAAAAATGTAAAAGGACGTGTTTGCAACATAATGAATAGTCGTTTGAAATTATGATATCATATTTTATCATATCTCACTCAACAAGTTAACGTCCAACTCAAACTGCCATTAAATTTTTAATGAAAAAGGACGAATTTGAAACATAATGAATAGTTAGATGATCATTTTGTAATTTTTAATAGTCAATGGACTCAATAAAGAAACTCCCTATAGTTGGAGGACTATTTTGTAACTTTTAATAGTCAAGTGACTCAACAAAATAATATCTTACAATCGGAGGACCATTTGTAGATTTTACCCTTAAGTCTATTACCTTCGAATCAAATATGAACCACATGGAGACTTGTATGCTAAACACAAAAAAAATACAGGATGGGGGCTTAATATTCTGATTGTTTTAGGTTTCCACTAATAATAGGGATTTGTTGATAAGAAAATTGTGGTTGTGGCAGCGTAGGAATTTTTTTATTTGAGCGGATAGTCGCAATTAGTGATTTCGAGTTAAAGAAAATAACATATGATATAGAGATAGATTGGTGGAGAGAAAAAGACTTCATCCCCTTTCTCCAATCATGCATAGTGATTTATACACTATCCAAAATGAGACTTAGGTCCATGATGACTATATGTAGGTTGGTATGACAAATAGATATAGCTATTTGATAATAGATTTAGCTAGAAAGATTATGTGAGTTTGTCAGAGATTATGTCAAGAGATTGTAGCTTTTTAGAGGACAGAGATTCAGGAGGCATCAATGAACTTTGGAGGATAAGGAGCACTAGGCATAGTACTAAATTACGGTGGCGGTTACGATCGAAGTTGCGGTACAGCAGTTGTAGGTGTTGCGGACGCGATGATATAAAATTCATGGTTTAATAAGCCTAGTTTCGGAAGAAAGATCAGGACTAAGTTCTGATGAGTTCAAATTGAATCCAATATTACCAAGATGATATTAACTATATAGCGGTAATCACCTTGTCAGTGTCGACATCGTTCATAATGGCACTAATAACTTCTTCGCTACAGGAGTCAACTTCATCGTTTAATGCATCTCGCAGATCATCTATCTCTAAATAACCACTTTTATTCAGATCCAGGAATGCAAAAGCATTATGCAAGTGTTCCTCGTTGGCCATTTTCCTGAGGTGAACTGAAACTGCTACAAACTCTCCGTAACTCAGAGTTCCATCGCCATCAACATCAGCCTGTTAAAAGCAAGTCACAGTTATACAACATGTTAAGAGTAAAATGAAGCCTAGCATAATTGCATTAACCATGTTATTAATTTGAAGATTTGACGAGATCAAAAATAAAGTTTTGGGTGAAGCACAAATGATCTTACAGATTTCACAAGGATCTGCAAATCTGCATCAGGGATTTGTTGGCCAAGCTTTTGCAATCCTGTCCTAAGCTCCTCAAGGGTTATTTTGCCTCGTAGTTCAGTGTCCATCATTTCGAAGGCCTCTTTTATACCAGCTACTTCCTCCACAGACAAATGCTCAGCAATCACCTGGGAAATAAAGAAAACTCCAAACTGTGTCATGTTAATGGGAAGTAGATAACTATAGGAGGAGATGTAAAATTATTTACCCTTAGAGCTCTTTTCTTTAGTTTGTTCATTACTGAAAATTGTTGTAGCCTAGCTTTCACGGTCTCACCTAATGGTACATCCGAAGCTTTCTCGGCATTTTGTAACCAAGGATGTTCTGCACATTAATAGTTCAGATGATTTCTTCGTAAAAGGTAAAAGGATATTGTTGACGGAAACAATTAAGTTAAGGTGGTTGTAGGTGGTTCATCCATTCTAATACGAGTGAAGAATCATAGTCGGTGAGAAAATGACTGTGATCAATTTCAAGATTCTTTGTCTCCATGAAGAGGTAGAAGAAAAATAAATGAGAATGAGATGATTTTAAATCCAATCATCTCGCTCAATCTTGATTGAAAAGTTTTATAGTGAGTTTTAAAATTGGTGTAAGATGTAGAGCTGTTATGACTATTCTTAGACTGATATATAAAATAAAATTAATCAACTGATGAAAGATTTGATTTTAATAGATCACATGAGTCTGTCAGAGGTCAAGTAAAAAAATCACGACTTCCTAAAGAATATTAAATATTCGAAACGTAGATGTTCTCTCTATCTTCTTAAGTTCCCTAAATACCGAGGTTCAGATAGAAGACCTCTGATGGGTATAACAAATATCAACATAAATAAAGCATGTAACCATGGACAGACAGATAATCTTATGTTAAGGGTAAACTTTTAAAATTTTAGAAGAGATAGACTTATATCTAAAATACTTATTAATTTAAAGGGTGACTATCCCATCCGTCCATTTAATCCATCCTTACATGTAAGAAAGATGTATATATAGAAGCTCACCAAGCACTTCTTGAGCAGTAAGTCGTTTCTTTGGATCAGGATTAAGCATGTTCTTTACAAGATCCTTTGCATCGTCGGAAATATTAGGCCATGGATCCCTGTTAAAGTCAATACTAGAGCGAATAATTGCCTGTGCCACTTCCTTCTCAGTCTCTGTATGAAAGCAGAAGAATTATTATTGATAATCTATTTCCGTCTTTTAAACTTTTATAAATTTACGCTTTAGCATAAAATTATACGTCCGTACATTATCTCACTGTCATCAAGTCAAATGAATAAAGGAGTAGCCCTACAAGATAAACAAACCAACCTGCACAGAATGGTGGAACACCGCAAAGTAAAATGTAAAGGATAACTCCGGCACTCCAAACATCAACTTCGGGGCCATAATTACGTTTACGAACTTCAGGAGCCATATAATATGGACTTCCCACAATCTCATTGAACCGTTCACCTGTCGGAAAACAGCATTCTTCTAATGCTGCTGCATAATATAGAAGAAAAAAAACAAAACAAAAGAGATCCCTAAGACAACCCACATTTACTATGCAATACCAGGTTTAAAGAAGACTGACAACCCGAAATCAATTGCCTTTAAGGAACAAGTTTCTTCTTTTTTTGCAAACAGAAAATTTTCTGGTTTGAGATCTCGATGCATGACTCCATGTTTATGACACATCTGCAACATCAATTTGCATAAAGAAAACCCATCTGATATAAAATCACTACCATCCACATAGAAAAGACCCATAAATTACATACAGGGAAACAAATGGAGGGATAAGAAAGAGAAAATGGTTCAACTCTAAATGAGTAAAGGGTTCACTTTTTGTTAAAAAGAAAAGATAACTGCATGGATTAGGGTTAAATAAGTTTTCTTTGTAATCAAGTAACTATTGATTAGGGTTAGAGATTAAGTTTCCATTGAGGATTTCTCTTCTATTTTTCTACTGCCGACAACAACAAATTTTCTTTTCTTATGCTCAGTTTTTTATATAAAAAAAAGATTTTATTCTGCAATCATTATACTTGTCGTCATCTTCTATCATAAATCGATTAAAAAATGTATTCCGAATTTGACCTGAATAACTTGTACGATGGTCTTCATGACCCCAGCAGCTGCTCGTTCAGAGTAGTGTCCCCTTGCAGCAATCCTATCAAACAACTCTCCTCCCTCACACAATTCCATTACAATGTGTACAGCATCATCATCCTCAAAAGTATCCTTCAATGTAACAATATTAGGATGGTTGGTCAGATGCTTCATTATCTGCACTTCCCTCCTCACATCCTCGATGTCCACTGCAGTCCTAAGTTTCTTCTTCGATATGGATTTACAAGCAAAATTTTCACCGGAATCCGGATTCGAACACAAATATGTTACACCGAATTCGCCACGGCCTAGCTCACGGCCTAGATCATATAGATCTGAAATATTATGGCTAGTGGGTTCCTTTAAGACCTTTAGCTTGAAGGTTGTGGCAGATCCATTGGTGGCACCATAATCATCTCCTACAATTGCATTGGCTTTGTTCTTGTTTCTCCTCTTTTTGTTATAAATCTTGACCGGAGCACCGATGGTGGTAGTACAACAATTTCCCATTTATGATAAAGAACGCCGTAAACAACCAAGAGCTCCCTCTTTTCCAGATCCTCTTGAATTTCATTAACAAATAGTTATAAGAAAAACAGATGAATTAAGGAATCAAAATAATAATAATAATAATTAAAACAAAAAACATTAAGAGGTACCAGAAATGGAATAAAGAGAGGGAGAGAGCAACTGCCAAGAAAATTGCAAGATTTGAACATACAGAAACAAATAATATTTTCTGCAAACGACTGGGAATTCTTTTTTAGTCTATTGAATTCAACGATGAACAAAAAAGAGACAGAGGAATAACCCTCTCGTCTTTATTTTTATTTGTAACTATTTTATTTTCTTCTAAAAATAGCAAAACAAATCTCACAATATAATAAAACCAATTTCGTTCCTATTTTTGGATTTTTTTCTTTATTTTACTACTATTATTTTGAAATGTTAACAAAACTTTCTAAAGTGCATAAAAAAATCTAAATTGTTACATTTGATAAATAAAATGAACTAAATTGTTAATTGGAAAATGGGGTTGGGGTGGTTTGTAGCGGTTCGATTCTTTTGATTTTGGCGAAGAGTCGCAACTAGTGATTCTCTTAAAAAGAAAGAGAGGATGGAGGAGTTGAGGAAGATGATATAGAGAGTGAGAGAGATATATAGAGAGAGGGAGATACAAACAGAGGATCGGTGAGAGTTTTTCCTTCTTAAGCGTTGCATGATGACCTATATAAATACTTTAGGGTGCGTTTGGTTCACGGAATGTAAGATTACTAATGGGAATAAAAGATTACCAGGGAATAGGATTACTGGAAATATTGTATTTTGTGTTTGGTTGGTTTAGCAGGAATGTAAGATTATCGTGTTTGGTTAAAGGAATAAAATATTATTGAAATGTATATTTGATCAAATTGTCCTTATTATATATTTGTTTTTTACAAGTTGAATTCTACTATAATATTACTATAAGATATTTATATATTTTCTTTAAAAAAATTAAATTCATAAAATTTATTTAATTTTCTTTTACAAAATTGAAAATATAAAAATTTTTAATGAAAGGGTAAAATTTTATTTTAACCCATGAACTTCATATAAAATTTTAATTATAGACTTTTTTTATAAATCTAAAATAGTTTAAGAATAAATTTGTAATTTAATCTTCATAGAATTTTTATTTTTCAATGACAGAAGAAGGATATTTTTGAAAAAAAAATAAGGGCATTTTAGTCCAAAACGCCGGTAATCCAACAATACCTAAGGGAAGAGAAGTAATGACATTTTCGGTAATATACCTCAAAAAATCCACTGTTGGTAATAAAATATTACCGGAAATGAGATTACCGGCCAACCAAACGGGGAATGTTGATTTCATTCCTCCGGTAATCTTAATATGACTTGAACCAAATAGCCCCTTAGTGTTAGTATCAAGCCTATAGTGATAATGACTATATGTGGTTCTGCCAAAAATCACATCAAGGGACTATCTGAAAGATATGAAACGTTGGAGAGTTTAGAGTTTGATAGGTAGAAGAATGAAAACGGAGGTATGAGTTACGAAAGATATCCCAATGAGGTACAACATTTGTCCCTCCTTAGTCGAGGGAATGACATAAAACGACTTGAACCAAGACTTGTAGAAGAAGACATTTACTACTAAAATAAATTGAACAAAGTTGTTTCAACACCTATAAATATATACACATTGGAGGATTCTCGAAGCTCTAGTGAGATAATGAGGAAACTGAAGCAGAGGCATCTCAAACAATACACATAAGGCGGAGGATCTCATCGTTCATGAATAGGTTATGGAGAACGTGATATCATCTCGACGCTTTGTAAGGGCAACTGATAAATTTATATATTTGTAACGGAGGCATCTGAACACTCTATGAACGTAAATGAAAAGATTCCCATTGCTAGAGTGGAGGTATCACAACTCTTTCATAATATTTTATAAGGTACCATACTTTTTCATAATATTTTTATAACACTTTTAAATTTATTTTTTAAAAATAAATTTTCAATCTAACATAAAAACCTTTACTTTTTGTATTAGTCTAAGTGATTATAAAATAATATTTGTTCGAAAGATTCTTAATCATTTATCAATAAACACTTGAACATCCATGTAAATGATATTATCACGCCCTTGGAGCCTTAATCTCTAAAGGCATGACAATATGCTGAAACCCGAGACCTTAATGAACAATAATCATTCATTTAATCATTGAATTCGTTTGGTTCATACAAATACAATAACCCTAGCCCATGAACTTTTGACTCGAATCCAATCAGTCCAGCCCATAAACTCTAGCACTGCCATCGACCATTTAGGTCAGCAGTAAATGTCGGCAAGGATACAAACGTAAGGCATGAAAAATTGGTGTCTCACATATCTTTCCATTTCCATTCAATTAAATTAAAATGCGGAGGCATTCACCATAATATCTTTACAAAAAAATTCAACCATCCCATTAATTATTCTCCAAATTAAATATACAATAATCATTACAAACATCGCGAGTTAGTTATGGGGATGTTTAAAATCTAAAGGTAAAATGATTTAGAAAAGCACTTGCTTTAATTCTTCATGCTATGTCGTCATTTAGTTTGAGAATTCATCATGTCCCTTTCCTTCTCATTTTGTTTTCGAGTAAAAAAAATATATAACCTAGAACTCATCGAGTGTTTTTAGTGGTTAAAGGATCCATGTTATTTTCTTATGAGATCTCGTGTTCGAGCAGTTACATTTATAAAGTGTGTTGCTAATGATTAAGAAAAATTCTGAACATATATTATATTACAACCACCCCATGCTATTCAAATATATATAACCTATGAATATGAAACAAATTATAAATAATACAATTTAAAATATAAGATTCGTACAATCAATGGTGGAGCCACGTTTACGTGAGGATGGGCATGTTTTTTCCACCTATATTTGTATCCTGATATTTTATTTATGTTCATCTCAGATATAATTTTTTGCGTTATTAATATACACGTGTCTATCTTTAAAAATATTTTTAGATTCGTCACTACGTAGAATATTATTTCTTTAAGATAACTTCAGAAACCGATTAAATTAAATTACACATTTATTAATTATAACTCACTCCTTTCCATCAATGTTGGTTTATTTCATTTCCCATTTAATTCTTTATAATTATTACCATCACAAGAGAAATCAAAGAAAAAGTGTCAATAAGTTTATAATGGAAATTAAAGATATAAATTGGCATTCAAGGCCAAATTGATAATTATTGTACAAGCTAAGTGGACGTCTCAACCTTAGGCTAACTAAGTGATTAAAATCTCATTTCCAAGGAAGAATTATGATACTAGTTATAAACCATTTTCATTACGCTATATCCATTGCTTCCTTTCCAAGGCAAAGACTATAACTTATATCATGTATATTTACAAGTGTAAACTTATACACATGTTAATTTGATATCGTTTTGATGTGACAATCACACCTGCAATTGTTACTCATGTCACCGTATTGTTAACGATTTAATGGATGAGTGATATAATTGAAACGAAATCAAAGTTCGGTGTTATAATTGATAAAACTGAAAGTTTAATATCATTATTTCTGTCCATTGCTTTGTACATCAAATCTCAATCTCAATTACCTCACACCTATGTGAGGCAACTATATATATTCCTTGAAATGTTCCTTTCTAACCTTGCTTACATGGTATAACTAATTATTTCATTTAAGGTCGTTTTACTGCCAAAGCACTCTTTTAACCTCAAGTAGATTTTAATCTCTATTTAAAGTACGAAACAAGCGACCTCAGTGGTTAAAGAGATAATTTTTATCTGTAGAGATTTTAAGTTCAAACACAACACTTCAGGGATGTTTGAACGTTTAATTATCAAATGATTAAGAGTCTTTTGAACATATATTACCTTGTAACCACGTCAAATTAATAAAAAATCGTTAAAATATATTTAAAGCTCAATTATTCCTATAACTTACACAAATGGTTTGTACCAGAGACCAATGTAAACTCCCAAAACATGCTGTTTTTGTGTTTATTTTTGTGGATTGTATGAGTAGGATATATATATATATCAGCTTTGGAAATCAAGAAAAGGGAAGGAAGAAACATCTTTCATCAAGTCCTCAAAGTCCCATTCTCCAACCTTGAGCTCTTCTCCTATCCGAAAATTCCCAACAGCTTCTGATTTGCTAATGTTGTTTTTACTATTACTATTGTTTATGATATTGAAAGGGTTGTTGATGTTCCAAGCATCAACTGTATTTTCAGTTTTAGGGTTCTTTTCTCCAATGCTTTCTAAAGGAGGGACATAGTCAACACTGCCCGACATCTCATTTTCGCCGCAGAAGCCGTCTCGATTTACCCCGAGCTGTGTCACATGTACGGCGGGGTCGATGTATCCGGTTTCCCCAAACACGTCGAGTCCATGATTGAGCATCGGTAAAGAGTTGCCGGCCGTGGTGTGGTTGAGGACCATGGATTGAAAGGAAGAGTTGGACGAAGTGGATGGTAAATCCATGCACATAGGCAACATTCCTTGTTCTTGCATTGACAATATGGCATCGTTATTAGCCTTTGGCGAGGGAGTGGATGACAAATTCTTTAGTCTTTTCTTTATTGTTGAATTCCAAAAGTTCTTTATTTCATTGTCGGTACGACCGGGTAGACGAGCCGCTATTTGGGACCACCTTTGAGGGTTTGAAACATGAGCAAACCATGAAACAAAAGAGTCGATAAGTACATTCCATCCATATATATATATAAGCAAAAATGTACTAAACAAATGTTGGATTTAAGGCCTCAGTTTTAAAATAGATAGTTATTCTCTTTAAAACTTTCGAGTTTGAGTAATTGTTTATCTTAAGTGTGTTGCCAATAACTAAAAATGATTCTAAACAAATACTACTTTGTAATTATCTCAATACATTCGCTCGATCTTTGATGTTCGTTTCAACTGAATTCATCATACTTCAATAAATAAAATATCCAAATACTCATAATGAACAAACTTGGCTTATTCATGTTACTTTCTCCTCACACTTTAATAATTGATTCCAACTACTCTATACACCCCCCATTGACTCCAGGCTTTATGGTTTGCATGTGCTGAACAAACAAGGGGAGCTCTTGATTGGTGTTTCTTTCCTGAAATCACTCTCCCTCTCCCTCTCTCTATATATATACATATGAAAGAATGTACCTTGCAACTTGCAAGTATGGTAAATGCAATTTTTGGTATAAATGAACCCGAAACTATTTTAGGTGATAAACAAATTAGAGTTACATAATAATTTTAGATTATATATATATATATTACTTATTTTATATTTTTTTTGTAGGATTAATATTTTAACAATGGACAGTTATATCTTAAAATAATACTTGTCAAGTCTTGAATACATTAAAATGTCTTTTTATTTATTTAATGTAAATTTTTTAACATTAAATTTGTATTAGAAAGCGTAGTATGTTGGATCAAAATAATAAAGATATTATATAGAAAAAAGTTTTATGTGCAGGAAAAGTATAATTATATTGATAAATTCAATATTTTGATCGTCAATTTTATTATTGGTATAAAAAATCATTATACGAATAATTTTTACCGTTTGAAAAAGATAGATTTTTCCATCTGATTTTAAAAGAGTTAGTATTATACAAAAACTTGACAAGTAAGAATGCATGAACGATAGGGAAGCAGACCTGTTGCCAAGAATGGAATGCAAATGGACGATATGCTCTTCTTCTTGAGGAGAAAAGGCTCCTCGTTTGAGATCAGGTCTCAAATAATTGATCCAACGAAGGCGACAGCTCTTGCCACACCTTTGCAGGCCAGCACTCCTAGCCACTTCACTCCAACATCCCTGCCCATTGGTTAACATATAGTTGATGAGCTTGTCGTCTTCCTCCGGCGACCACAATCCTTTCCTAAGTTTATTAGCACCACCATTGCTAACCTTGACGGATGGATCAGGCTTCCTTATCATGGTTTCAGTGTCCTAATCCGACGAGAATAACAATGTTGGTGGTGGGTTGATCCTAAATTCTAACTAGTTTTGAACATGTGGATTGTTGGATACTTTATAGAGTGAAAAGAGGCTTCATGAAGTGGAAATATTGGTGGTGATGATGATGGTGATGGTTGTGGGGTTTGCTTAGAATATAGGGAAGAAATAAGGAGAGATAAGAGTTGGTTGATGGGTCTAAGCAGAAAACGGTTTGGATGGTAACTTTAGAGAGAGAAATTAAAAAGGCAATAAGAGAGGTGTCTTCAAAAATGGAGAGATTAATAAATATTTTTTTTTAGAGTGGACACAAATATATTAATAACATAAAATTTTTATATGATGTGAACACAAATAAAATTTCATGGTAAACACAATCAATAAAATAGATACTTAAAGAAAATTCAAATTTCAGAATGAAAAACCTTAGTGGATCCGCCACTGGATCGAGGGATGTTGAGATAACAAAGGAAAATGAAAAGAACAACTATATAGGAATATAAAGGCTTTGTTTTGTAACCAAGCCAAGATATTTGCTTCAAATTCACATAAACTTTTTTTTTTAATTTAATCTCATGAACCTACACGTGTATTTTAAGCTATGAATTATATGGTGGGAATGGGTGACAAAATAAAGGAATATAACTTGATAATTGATACACACTTGGCACATGTTTATTAATCTAAATATTAATTAGGGTAAACTACATGGTTAGAACCCCAACTATTACTTTTATTCTGTTTTGATCGCTCGATTTTTTTTTCAAAATCATACATAACGTTTAGTTTTAGTTTCATTTTAATCATACGTCTTTAAAAAATTGACGGTGATGCTGGCGTGCCACCATAAGGTAATTCCATGTCATCATTGAATTTTTTTTAAAAATGTCACGTTAGCAGTTCTGTTTATATTTTAACAGTGAGTGACCAAAACGGAACGAAAGCGATAGCTGAGATACTAAATGTATAATTTACCCTATTAATTATCCAAGTGTTTCAAGTGGTTCATCTTGGACTCTGATATTACACATTTAAGTTTTGGACTCCTTACCTTTTGATTTAATATGTATATATTATACATAACTCTCACATTTTCGTCGTATGGAGAAAAGTTGACGAAAGGGATATGTTGAAGGCATCTTTAGATGAAGTACACATATGATCATTAAGTTATTTTGAAATTTTCTTTGGTATTATTTTTTAAAAAAAGTTAGAAAAATATTAAACTTTTGATTTTATTACAAAATAGGTATCGTGTAGTTAGTCGTCGTTAATTGTTTTTAAGGGATGACGTGATATATTAAATAAATGGATAATATTTCATTTGGTTCCTCGATTACAATTGAAATTTTATTTTAATACTTTTCTAATATTTTAATCGAAGTCATCTCGTGACGATTCGAATGTGTTAGGTCTTCAAAGAGTTCGTTATATGGTTGGAGTTGCAACCGGTCACTTTGGTTGAGTACGATCAAACACTCTTAAATCTTGTTTACATCTACATCGAATCATAGTTGGGTTCAAGAATTGGTTAAGCGTGGGAAAGGTTGAAGCATCCCCGTGACGCTCAAAGTAGGTACCTAAAAGGGTTATATTATCTTGAAAGAAAATTGCCATAATGATTGGATTAGTAAAAGATGAATAAATGCGGGAAAATGATGAGCATGTTCAAAAATAGAACCAAATAAAAATTAATTAAGATTTAAGGCCAAATTTATTAATTAATCACGAATTAAGAAATTTAAGCCAAAATTATTAATTTGAGCATGTTCTAAAACCTTATCTCACCATCTAACATGTACCATAGCAATTTGCGTCTCCAAATGAAGTTTAGGATGGGTAAAAGATGATGCTTACCTTCGAAGCTCGATCTATCTACTACTAGCCACCAAAAACCCACGGCAACCCTATAATATAAGAGCTAAAATTTGATATTTTTTCACACAAAGGAATATTTGCACTCTAGGCCCTCCCCATATACTCCCTTCTTCAAAGGCACCGCCAAAACTAACCGCTTGGGCTTCAATCCACCATCATCAAGGCCCAATTCCCTAATTTGCAAACCCAAACATTCAAACCTATTATTTACTAACCCGAGTCAACCCTAAATGTTGACTTAAAATTTATGGGTCGTTATTGTTGGATAATTGCAATCTTCGGGTATGTTGTTTCAACCATTTTTCCGCATCACTTGACCGTACGTGTCTTCAATGGGTGATGGTTAGTATGTGTGTGGTCTACTTGAGGGTTGAGGTTGATGTTCGGGTGGCTTGGGTGTTGAGGTAGTGGATGCAAGTGAGCGGGTGATGGCGAGTGGTGGATATAGTGAATAGGCCTTGGTTTGGTGTTGACAATAGAAGGCCGGAAGGTGTTACGCATAGTTTCATGTGGAGGTTGAGTGTGCTCGAGAGTATTAAGGTGTGGGAGAATGCTAGTGACAGTGTCGAGCAATGGGAGTTCATGGGAGAAGGTATTGGGTGATGAAGGTAGTGTGTATATAGGTTTGGCTACCTTCGAGTTCTGTCGGAGATATTATCCTTCGGGATCATGTCGTAGATCAACCAAATAGAATTAAACAAAGACCACGACGAAAGATGATTCATTTCTGGTCCTATTAAATGAAGCAAATATTTGATGCAGAAAAGGTTGGTTCTGTAATTAGAATAGAATAAAACATTCAAACATGTTGCGACAGACTAATTTACTATACAAAGACTTTTTGAGGACAGGACACCCCATGGTTGAAGAACATAATCTACCTGCCTGACTGTTACGCCGCCAAAAACATACTCTTCGAGATTCGATACTCAGACACTAGCTGAGACTTCATTTTTGGTCGGTTTATCTTTTTTCTTTCCAGGATCTTGTTGAGATTTTTGTACAACAGCCTTGTTTGGAACCAAAACTATGAATATATTCCTGTCTTTAAAGTTCTTGCTTTCCTCAGTTGCAAGCTGCAGATCAAAGATGGGGTTTAGGATTACAGTTAAGAGCAGCTTTCAGATAACAGATTATGAATGGCGTACGAAGCCCGAACAAATGCATTAAACGGCACAACATTATTGGAAACGAAGTCTCAAAACAACCATAAGCAAGAGAGTTGCTAATTATTTTGTTGTTCACAGTTCGGTTTTCAGTTTCATTCTCAATTCATGATTTTATCTAAAAGCAAATTACAATAAGGCAACCGTTGGAAATTTGAGAGCTTTATATGATGATATTTACTTTCTTTCCCTTGAAATTGCATATTAGTTATTGATGAAAGAAAAAAATGATAATTATTCATGACTGTACCTCCCCAACATCATTCTGGAATCGCCTAATGAGTTCCATAGCCATATTTCTAAATTCGTTTTCTCGGCCTTTCAAGTTCACCATGACCTTGACCTGAGAGCATAGATCAAAATATTTCATTGCTATTTAACTCCAAAAGATTTTATGGCCCATATGTAGCATGTCAAGCATAAATATTTATACAAAAACCTCTAAAAAGAAGAAGGAAAACAAACACCTTATCACCATCGTTCAGAAACTTCCTTGCAGCTTTCAAACGAACAGCGTAATCATGTTCATCAATGTTATAACTGTTCAAAACAAACAAAAGCAATTTAGCCAAAACAATAAAGAGCTAAAAATTGATATTTATAGTAGCATTGGAATACAATTCTTGATAGAAGCCACGGTCAAATGAGTTACTCTCACAAACTTTTACCCCCAACTGTTGAGGAAGAAAATAGCTTTGATTGGACAATGGCACTTCCATACCAAGGAAGAGACTAGGGAAAGTCGGATTCAATACCAAATATGATCACTTCACTGAGATAGTACCATTCAAATGAAACTACCATGGTAACTTATCAGAGCTTTTTGGCTCCAGTGTTAATGGAAACATGACTCGAATGACACTTGTATATTGAGGAATGCACACCCTCCAGAAAACTAGGTTAAATTGCAAGCCTTTGTATGGGTTTATGCAGAAGGGTAGGTTGGGGTATGCTTCTTGAAATATCATGTACAACTGAAGATATCAGGGTATGTCATCTTTCTTTCCCAAGAGTGTCAATTGTTTTATCATAAATGAATAAACTGCACATTAATGATACAATTATAAAACATCGTGGACCTATAAACTAACAAAAATCGAGATATTAAATAGTAGGATTATAGTTCATTTACCAAGTCATCGGTGCTTCAAAGAAAAACTAGACACCCACAAAAAGGGATACTTGGGTTAGATTATGATCATTGGGAGATAGAAATTTAACAGCAGTCAAATATCTCTGAAGCATACTTATGAAATAAATTCACCTGAGAGAAACTTATTTTGTAATTATGGATGATAATTACACATCAAAAAGACCAAAAAGACAAAGGAATGTAATTGATGTGGTTAAGAAGGAAAAACAGCAGTAAAATACTGGAATTATGACTGAAATACGAATGGGAAAGACAGAACTCAAGAAAATCAGGGTTATAGAAAACCTCTAGATTTTCTATTAATTCAAATAAAACAATAATGATAAGTTGCGAATTTAGTATTTTTACAGCTTCTTTATACTAGGGTTACAAAAATAATTTTAATCTTAGCCCTACATTTAAAACATAGAGAAACTGAATATAATAAAAGCCAAAAAGTTGTGAGATTGAAGTCAACTAACTATGTTTCGGAACTTTTTTACGAGTTCCAATTTCCAAAACATGTTCGGTTTTGTGCCCGGAGGAACGTTTAGTCAGCATCAATCCGCAGAAAGGAAAGTTTAATAGTTTAGTCTAACAAAGTGGACATAGAAGTATAATGCAAAATACTTGCCTCATTTTCAACTCCTTAAGATCCATGCGATTGGCTGACAGATGAAATAATAGCTTAGTCAGCATCAATCCGCAAAAAGGAAAGTTTAGTCATGAATCAAATAGAGGGAAGAGCTAAATCCACAGTCAATCTGGCTGGGTCAGCAGGATCAAATCATAAAGATATTAAATTAAAACAGAGCAACTTTTCCACCAGCCAGATGTTATATGATTTTAGCATTCCCCATTGAGAATAACAGAGAGGACATTAACACGCACTTTTCTTCTGCTGTACTTTCTTCTTCTTTTGCTGTTCATATCTATACTTACTGAGGAAAAGGTAAAAGCAAGCATATTAATACACTTCAAAATGAAATTTCAAAAGGAAAATACATGTATAACTAAGATGATTAATTTAATATTTTTTTAATCTCAGTCCAAAGTGCTGCCTTCAATAACGTGGGAATGACTAATAGATAACCCTCTATTTACATGATATTGAGAGGTAAATAGAGTTACTTTCGTCTCATTTAAAAGGGATGCTCAAAGCTTTAAATAGCTCTTCCCCCAGCTTACCTTTAAAAAATATCACAATTTAGCAGTTACTTTTATTTCACAATTATTTCCTCTAAGCTAGTAGCATAAAAATTCCATAAATGAATGAACGATAATATACTAATACTATTTCTCTCAAGTTATCATAAAGCATATCATACTTGTAATCCATTATTCTGACAACAGGAGGATCTGCATCAGGGGATAATATCACCTGCAAAAGTGGTATTAAAACAAATTTCAGCATCACCACTACACACACACACACAAGAAGTTCAAAGAAAGTTTGTTTTCTAAAAGAGAAAAAATATAAGTTCTGACGAACTTAGCATAGGCTACTCAAGTAAATTCAAGAAGAATAAAACACAGACAACGAACAGATGATCGTATAATGATATACGAATGTCCCTACAAACCTTAATTTTTTATTGTATATACTTGGAGCAAAGCAGACTGTAGGTTCACAGTGCCCTTATCAAAGACCAGTATAGCATCAATCACTAACTTGAACATGTAGTTGATCATTTCATATTGTTCTCTTTATACTTGCCATTTTTGGTATCAAGTTTTCTCAAAAGACATAAAACAATCCAATTAAAATGAGCTAGTATGAAGCTTAAGGATATGAACTAGTATCTAGAGATTTATGCAGCAGCAGGAAAATTGGCAAAACCAATACTGAGTATGAACTAATACTATATTCAAAACTGAAAATGCCCAAACTAAAATGACATTGACACCTTCTCAGGCAAGTAGCATGCAACAAATGTCTTCTAGCAAATAGATACGAGGTATTAAACAAGCACTTGGCTTAACCTTCATGTATCCACAAAGGGAGAAGAACTACAATAACGCTGATACCTAAAGCATGGAAGTTAAACCATAATCATAAAGCTTCCCATCCCCAGTAAGCAAAAGTTTGTGGATTTAAATACACTCTCTCTGTAACATCACATAACATTCATACGTAAAAAAACCAATTGTACAGCATGGAAGTGTCAAAGGCTTGATTGGATTATTACCTTTACTACTTGCTTTTTTTTTCCATCCAAAAATAATAGAAAAATTACGTGTTTGCATGAAAAAAATAAGTTTTTGAAATTGTTACAAAACTAAAAAAACCAACTGTTGTGAAAAACAATGCACAAACTCTTGTGAGAATATTGTGCTACCAATACAAACAATATATTCACAAAACAAATGCAAAACAAAGTGATCAGTATAAGCCAAAAAAAAAAACTTCTCCAGTTTATAAAAGCCAATAAGTTCTCGTTACTAACCTAATGTGGAAAAGAAAGTCACTAACACAGAGAGTCGGAGTCATGAAGCATATATAAATTTAATAGAAACAGAGAAAAGCATACCAAATCGAGCCCTGCATCTTCAGCCATTCCAATGGCCTGGCTTTTAGACACTACCCCAACCTACACATTAACAAAAACAAATCAATTTGACAGTTGATGATAAGAAATCAATATAATGTAGAAAATGTCATCTTAGCAGTAAACACAAAAAAGAGAGAAAACCAAAAGTAAAAAGTCACTAACCATATTTTGCTCCTCATCAATAAGTCTGACAGAATCAGACCTAAAACCAAAGAAACAAAGAAACAAACATACCCTTCAAGTTTATAATAAGCAAAGCTACCCCAAATTTGCAAATTGCAATTGAATCAAATAACACAAGTGAAAACCTGATGATAGATAAATCAAGCGCCTGGTCTTCATCGTTCTTCTTGGAACGACCGGGAGCGGAGGACCGAAAATTACCACCACCATAACGGGCGGATATAGCAGGCGCAGCAGAGAAGTGAAGAGAATAATAGGAGAAAGTGTTTGGGATGCGGAAATGAATGCCAGACAGCTTGGATTCGAGGGAAGAGAGGAGTAAAGGTATGGTCTTGAAAGGGAAGCCGGTGGCAATCCCAGACATGGCTTTGGGTGTACCGGAGGAATATGCTTATCCTCAAAACTCAAAAACTATAACTTGTGAATTCATGTGAGCCGTGCTTGCGCCTGTAATGTGAACATGAGAGATTGGGATTTTTCGCAAATTTGGGCCGTGAATACTTCAACCCATAGTGCAAATTGCTGTGATTTTTCGATCTTTGTCGTGTTTTTATATATACTATTTTTATCGGATATGAGATTTATTTTAGATGGTTTTATATGTGATAAAATATTTATAAATCTAAATCATCTGGTAGTTTTAGTGATTAAAAATAATTTATTTTTGAAGCATTAGATTCAAGAAGTTATATATCATCAATTCAAACTCGATTTTGAATTCGATTCAAGCTCGATTTTGAATTCGATTCAAACTCGATTTTGAGTTCAATTCAAACTTAAGACTGCTAACCGCACGGCTCCGTAAATTAAACCATTAAGTTTGCGCTTTAATTTATAGACTCACTTGTGGAGCACATGCTTCTATTTTAAAGATGTGGGATTCCCATCTTTCCTGCTTCTGTGACTCTTCTCCAACAAGCTCCCATCTTCTGCTAAATATACTCTCTATTTTCCATACTTTCATTGTGATTTATCTCTCATTTTATTTCAATATGCTACATTGGTACCGAAAGCACCAAGCTTTCTCTCTGGATTCATTTAGTCAGGTAGGTTTCCTGCATTTGTCAGCTCTCATTGTATTTTTCCTTTTGTTATAGTTCCATTTGATGTACATTGTGTGTCTGTGGTTTCTTCTTCCTTTCATTTTTCTCCTTTTGGTTCTTGAGGAACTTACTAGGCTTTTATTTCTGAGAAACTTCTAGTATGAAGTACCCAGAAGAAGTAAAGTTTAGTTCAAACCATTTGTAAATTCAAGGAGCAATTCGATGATTTTGATATGAGTTTTTGTTCTGAAAGTTGATTTATTGGGGCATATGGTAAGTAGTAATTTGTTGGAGTTCAACAAAAATAAAATGATCATATATATAAATTCAGTTTATGGTTATCAATCTCCAAACTTCAATGTTCATTATTTGATTTGTTAGATGAGCTAATCATGATCTGGTTTTTAATTTCTTTACATTCCTGCAGAAGGTTGTAGATTTTGTTTTATTCATTAATGCTTACATGGTTTATATAGAAGATGGAGCCCTAGATTCTGATTGGATTGTGACGGGGTTGTTCTTATGGAATTGCTTGTTGGTTTTGTTCATAATGCAGATTTATTGGGGTTTTCACCATTTAGCTGCAATATAATTCTGAAAGTTTGATTCCTGTAGGAATTTGGAGTGGCCACAGCTGAAGCAAAATCAAATTTCGGGGGGGGGGGGGGGGGGGAATGGAGTTTTCCAGGATTCTTATGATTGGTTTTTCTGTGTTGCTCTTATGCTCCTCTTGGCATATGGTCAAGGTGCTAGTCCTCCGGCTCCTGCCGCGATGAGCCCCAATCCGACACTGGCACCGGCTCCAGCTTATGTAAACCTCACTTATCTTAGGGTAAATTAGCTTTAGGCCCTCTACATTTATGTGTTTTGTACAAAACATTCCCTCATTTGCTTAAATTTTCTTATTTGTTTTAAATGTTCAGGTGTCATTTATGTTATTTTCCATATTAGTTTAGCTTAAACAGAATAGGATCAATTGCATATAAGACCCTGTAGTTTATGCACATTTTGTATTTAAGTCATTGGTTTAATTCCAATTTTGTAAGTTTAATTTTACATTTACGTGAATTTAATCATCATTCTAAAGTTAGTATATTTAGCTTAAATTAGTCCTCACACTTAGGTTTCTCTTAATTTATTCCATGTTTAGGATTGTTTTCTTTAATTAGTTATGTATATTTATTTTGCATGTTGGTATGTTTATGTATAAGTATGCGAATGATTTATTTAGGAGTCACATAACATCATTTTGCATAATTTGTATGTTACCTTCATGTGCATAACTTAAACCTTAAACCCTAAACCTTATCACATAATTAGAAGAAATGAGATGGCTTAGTGAAATGAGAGAGAGTAGACTTGTTTTTCTTTTGCTTTCTGAAGAACAAAAATCTAATAAGAAGTTTAAGTCTTTTTTATTTTTGTATCTCTTCTCTTCTCAGTCTTCTCTTTATTTACTGCTTTGATTTTCCAACTCTGCAATTATTACTTTTTTTTCATAGTAGAATCTAGTAATGCATATATATTTTTCTTGTTTTACTTTATATGGTACATGTTAGTAGTAAGGATGATCATTTTCTCTCAAAAATGATTTGATGCCATTAATTTTGTTAATTAAGATATTAATGTAAGTCTAAATGAGTTTTTTCTTTCTTAATTATTTATAAAATCGGTTATACTCTATTTTGATATGTTTTTAAAATTATTAATATTTAAATTGAATCATATTTTTATTACATTATATTTATTGTCAAATAAAAAAAATAATTGTGAGGTAAGTACAATATAGTATCTTGATATTAAATGCTCAAACCCTTGATATTTATGATATTTGAACCCGAGACCTCAAAATATAACAACAATTTAAAAAATTAGTTATTAAAAATGTTATCATTAGAAATATATTAAATATTTGTCATTAGATAAATAATTTTAATATATTAAAATTAAAATTTGAGGGTAGTTGTATTATAGAATTTTTAATATATTTTTAAATTTTTATAATTATCAATAATGTAGTTTTAATATATTTTTAATAATGTAATTTTAAAAAATCTAAAATTATAATATAACATTTTTTTCGAGCTGCTCACAAGCTTTTCGAGTCGAATATCGAGTAGCTCGTTTCGGCTCGTTAAGAACTCGAGTCCATTCGATCCGAGTATTTATCGAGCCTTAATCAAGTTGATCTGGAATAACTCGTGATCTGTCTCGTCTCATTTACAGCCCTAATACCAGTACTATGGATATGCTCTTCCTCGTAAAGATGTTCCACCGCTGATGCCAATACCATGTATATGCTTCCCTTTTTTTCTAGTAACACTAATAGCTGCAACATTCACATAACAGATGTGGACTAAATGAGCTTAATATGATAAAAGTAGCAAAATTCAATGACTAATATGGAACCAAAAATAAATTCAAGAACTAATGTGAGAAAAGTAAACAAAGTAAAGGAGTAAATGAATCTTTATCCAAAAAAACAAAGAGAAAAAGCTCCAAGGGTTTTAAGAACATATATAGAGTATCTATTCACTACATTTCTTTGTTGCCTCTCACTGAGAGGATAACTCGCTTTCATCTCAAACCTTAAGACCCGGTTCCTTTTACCGAGCGGCGGTGATTGAATATTACGGGAGGAAATGCAGCAGAGTAATCAGGAGGTGTTGAGCTTAAGACCTGGTGGTGGTCGAGGGAACAGACTCCTTGCTACTCCTGTTTCTTCTTCTTCTTTAGTCTTTGGTTCCTTTTCTTCTTCTGAGCTTCCTCCGGGCGGCGCTCCATTTTCTATAAAGGTTCGACCTTTTTCATCTCGTTCTATTCAAAACCAATATCTCAGTTTTTGATTTTTTTTCGGTTGTACTCGCCTTTGGGCTGTTTTGCTGTTCGTTCCGATGTCTAAATTAACCTTGAATCTTGGAAAGTACATTTGATTCATCATTGCCATTGCTGACTTCATAACTTACCCTCGAGAATCGAAATAAACACTACTTTTGTTTTTCGTATGAAAAGCTCTAAATTAACACTTTGCGCTCTTAGTAGTAAACTTTGTATTTGACCAATATTTTTTGTTCTTTGACCAATAAAAAACGTTGTGGTTAGTTCATTTTCGGCCTCTTTTTTGGAAGAGGAAGAATATGGTTAACTTTGTCCTAATTCTTGGTGGGGCACTTAGTATGTGTACTTGCTGTAAATATGGACAAACAAAAAATATGCAGGAGGACCTGCAAACATCTTATGTATTTTTAAACAAATGGAGGTGTTTCATTGATCTTTGAACATTAGACTAGGTTGTTCTTCTGAGCTGTGTTTCAATGGTTATATATGGATGATATTTTGCTATATTAGGATTGGAGTTTAAGTCTCTTTAAATGGGTTTAAGTGCTTGTTTTAATTTCAAATAAACTGGCTAACATTAAGTAGTTAAGTAACAAATGGACATGAAGTAATGGATTAAACCCACTTACGAAGTTTTGTAAGCCGACTGCTCTTAAATATACGACAATAAGTCATGGTTATATTTGCTACTTGTATTTACTTTTGGATCCTCCTATGCGGCAAAGAATGTCAATGAACAAGTTGAACTTTGTCAAGTTCATCAAGTGTTTGTGCATCACCACGCCACCAATAGATAAGTATATCGATGATTTGAAGTGCAGAAGATTGGGGCTTTACTCTTTGGACAGCCTCTTAATGGTAGAAATTTATAGAGTTGAACCATGTGATGTCCTTTAATACACCAGGGGCCAGCTTCTGCAGCTTAGGTAGGTAATTGTTCATATCTTTGCTTCGTAGTATCCTTCATCCTTGCCGTTGTGCATAGCACTCTATTGTTGCATTTTACTTCTGAAATTAGCCTGAAAAGAACAAGTATGCTTTTATTTGAGCAGAAAGATGTTCTTCAACATTCTTTACATTCTGTTCAATTATACGTGTGACAAGCGTTTTTTACCGTCAAATAATAATTCTTAGTCTCAAATAAAATAAATAAAATGAAAGCATAGAGAAGAAGGGCCGATCCACAGGATTTTTAAAATTGCTAATGTCGATTTATGTCGATCTTGATCAAAGAAACTGTAACATAAAGAAAAAAGGGGATTTAGTGTTATGAAAACTAAATAAATTGAATAAAAATAAAATGATAAATAAGGAAAGTAAATAGTTGGAAATAATGATAATAAAGATAGCTTCAAGCGTCGTTTTGTCTCAATTCTTTAAATTCAAGTTTGTAGAAAATTAAGAAAGATATTTAAAGATATGAAGTGTTTTTAATTTCACGAAACGAATTGAGTCATTGTTAAGCAATCGACTAATTAAAAAATTAGCTAAACAGATAGAAATTATACTTAAATTTTTAAAGAAA